AGCCACCAGGGAGGCCCTGGGCCCCATTTTTAATTCATTTTGATGTCACCTATTGGTACTCAGTACACATAAGTCACTCACTTTTAAAAATTGCATTATGCTGCATGGAGGTAACATTGGTGTACAACACGGTATATGATTTAGATGTGTAAGTGCACACTTCTTGAGGTGTATGCTACCACACCCCACCCACCACAAGGCAACCATAGTCCTCCTCCACGGTCCCCTGGGCTCTGGCTGCTTAGATGATGAGCTAAGGTAGTGCCAATATAAAATGGGAGAGGAATTATTGGTGGTGGGTTGGGAGGCAAATACACATATTGAGGTGTGAAGCTAAACTCAAAATTTATTGGGGATTGTAAACCAATGCTAAATCAATATGTCTTTATTAAAAAAGGAAAAGATTTCTCTCGAGGCACCTGGGAAACTAAACCAAGGTGCAGAGTGGCTTTGTAGACAACTGGCTCCTTTTCTAGAACACGGACAGAGACTCACCGATCTCTAATGTGTGTCTAGGAGACTTCCAGGCTTCCGGGGCCTTGGGTTCTCTGGTGCTTCTTCCTTTAGCAAGTGTACCCTTATTCCACTCTGGAGAGGGAGTGGCAAGCTGGGGATGGATTAGATAGGAGAGCTCTGGACACCGGGAGTCAGTGTAGAGCCAGAGCAATTGGAGAGAAATGTGCAGATAGGCAATTCGAGGGTCCTGGCTGAATAACCACTTGTTCACATGTTTTCCCATAAATTGAAAAAAATTCTTACAAAAAGTGTATGTTCTCCATTGCTTTCAACAAGTCCATTATTAAAATGGTAACACTATCATTTGTCCTTTACGAACATTGTAGTAATAGGATTCCATTTTAATATTGCGCCAAAGCCATTTTGATGTCTTTTAGGCTTCTTAACACGGGATTCGATTTGCATTTTTTGTTTTTAATGAGCTGCTTTAAAGGATTTCTGGCCCTCTCAGGAAAGAATATCCCTGAAATGTAAGACTTGGAATATAATTCAGATCATTTTAATCAGATTTTGCAGCCCTTGATCTAATCAACGAGCTGTTTGTGTTTAGCTTCTTGGTCAAGTTCATTCATTAACTCAGAAAGACAATGCCGTGTCTGCCTTTGGGCTAGAATGGAATAAGATTAGGAGATGAATTGAGCCCTGTCCTTTAGGAGTGCATAGTCTTTTTGAATGAAGTGAAAGAAATAATAGAATGGTATTTAAAATGTATGATGGCTTATATTTAAATATGTTAGAGGACTTGCTTGGCGATGATTGACATTAGCTGTGACTTTTTGCACCTGAAACTGCCTTGTAGAATATTTTCTTTTCACATCTATTTCACAATTGATATGGCTGCTCCCTTCCAAAGGTTCCAGTCATCCTGACACAGTGTTGGAAAATTACTAAAATCATTGCTATTTCATGGTTTTACTGACTATGCATTTGGAAGGATTCTGAGCAGGAGAAAACAATGAAGAAATGAAATCCCATTGATTTTTTTTTTTAATTGGAGAAAATTGCAACAAAAACTACTGTGCCTGACCCCCAATACAACAAATTCTATCAGTCTTAAATGTCATCTTCTAAAAGCAAGATGAACCGAAATGGAAAAATAACTTACACTAATTTTATTTGAAGTCTGAGAAATAATAGAATCACTCTCTTATTTGGAAGAAAATGTGTATACATGTATGAAGTATTAGAAAAAGATTTTCCCCCATGGTTATTTAGAAGAATGGAAAGCTGTAATCAGAAGTCACCTCCCACCCCCATTGTACCTCAATATTTATTTTCCTGTTGTCTTCCTTATGTAATGTCTGTGAGACCCACTTACAGTTACAAACTGGCAGCCACTTTGATTTTTTTCTTTCTTATTTTCCTCCTAATTAGTGTTTATATGTGTAGTAGATATACAATTTTCTTCTATTAATGTTACAGAAAACCAACCATAAATTTGCATCCACAATGAGGAATAAATAATCAACAAAAGCCCTTCCTGAATCCTCTGTAGTCGTGGGCCGGGAAGGAATGTGATTTGACTGTACTTTCATCGCAGGGGTTAGCCAGGGTTGAATATTTGTTTATCTCTTCTAGCACATCCCCTTTTAGAGACATGCAAATCCCTTGCTTCATAATTTGATGATTTGAACAATTTGCCCCTCCCGGCAGCCCGAGCTGGGGAGAGTGATCGGTTTTCCTGAGAGGTCAGAGGAACTGTCCTGTGGCTTCTGTGGGGACAGAACTTAATTCTTCCTTGTGCTCCTCCTTCCTCTTCCCTCCCCTGTGCCTCCCCATCTCCTGCTTCCCCTTCTTTTCTGAGCACAACAATGTGGTGTTGATGGAGAGAGAAAGAATTTGTGTTTCTTGTTCTCCCAACATTTGGGACTTTTTCAGCTGTTCTAAGGTTTGGTGTCTCAGCACTGCTGGTTTGTTTTAAGGACACTTAAATTTAGGTGGAGGTCAGACTTCTGTAGAGGCGTGAACTTACTGTCCCTGAAACACGGAGTGTTGTAAATCAACTTTATCTCAATAAGCATAATTTAAAAAAAACCAAAACAACTGGTGTGGAACTGTGAGGTTACTTGGTTACTTCTGGTAAATGTGAGAAGTCTTCGTTGAAGGTGGGGGCTCTGGAGGGGCAGCTGAGGTGGGGGGGTCTTCCAGTAGAAATGATGGCGGCCTCAGCCAACGTTGTTGAACTGCTCATAAGGAATTGATTCATTGTCATATGTCACAGACCCCATACTGAAGCCATGTACACGGATTAACCTACCTGTGGCTATTCAGATAATATGATTATCCTTTCTCTATGCAGAGGAACGCAACCTGATCTTTTAATGAATAGATACAAGAGCCTTGTGCTGTATTCCTAATTAAAAGGCTTCTAAATAGATTGATTCACAGGAAAAATAAATTAGGTTGAGTGACTGCTTAGAAATGAAAGGTAGAACCCACAGATCCTGACTCCACAGAGATCTGATTTTCTTATGATTCAAACCGTGACTCAGATGCCCTCGAAGCCAGAGAAGAGTCCTCAGGAGAAAGGCTGGAGAAGTGCCTTGAACTCAGGTGGAGGAAAATGGTTGGAGGGTGAAATGTTGTCTAAGAATCGTCTGCTCTTCTTTTTCTTGCTGTTCAATGATAAGGAGTAGATATTGGGGTGAGAGGCCCAAATGGATCATCTTATTCACTGGCCTCTGTGAAAGCTGGGAAAGAGAATTGTGCCATCCGACTATCTCCATTACAGGCCTGCATCCTTGGAATGGCTCTTTGGGGGATTATATAAAGCAAGTACATTGCTGGTGCCGAGTGGGAGCTTCGGAAAGTAGGCTGCTGGCGAGTTTGACATGATCTCTGCTGACTCCTGAAGACCTCTCCACTTTCTAGGACTTTCTGTGTGGGAACACAAGGGTTTCTTTTTGTTTTGTTTTGTTTTTAAAAAGAGAACTGGACACTTGCTGAGGCCTCAGACATACGTGGCCATTCATTCATCGCCGCACAATCCTGGGTTCTACCCTGTCTTTCTGGAACAGCTATTCATCTTGATCAGTTTTACAAATTCCATTTCTGGGGGGAGTTTGCAGAGATCAGCAACTGTACAGAGAGCACAACTGCCTTCTGGAGTCCAGCGAAGCTTCTGGTCTGTCTTCGTCCTTCCCCATCATCATGGCGGGATCCTCCACGTCCCTGCCGCCAGTGCCTTCTTTGCCCATCTCACTGTCTGCACCTGTTCCTACATATACGAGGGGCATGTAGGCGCCAGAGGAAGTGCTGGGGACTCCATGTGTCTGCCAGGCCAGGGGTCAGAGATCACAGATTTCGTACCCCGTGGGGTTCATGTCCTGTGCAGCTTCCGTCCCCACTGCAGATGCCGGTGGGGGAGATTGCACAGTGAGGCTGCTGCTGCTTTCGTGGAGCAGTGTGGAAACTTCAGCACACAGAAGGGGGTGTCTGGGGAGGTGCGTGAGCGCACACTCCCAGGTCCACTTGGGACTCAGAGCTGCTGGAAACAAGACCCACTGATCCTAGCTCAGGAAACTCAGCACATGTGGACACTGCTGGGGACGGGAAGCCCAGCACTCATATTTCAGCTTGAGATCCTTCTCTGAAAATTTTGATGGGGCTGTTCAGAAATTGAAGGCCTATTATTCCCGATGGGTCCACAAGCTCTCCCGAGGTGATGCTGCTTTCTTCCTCTATGGCTGCTCTTATTCTCTTGAGTGTACACTAGACTCTCCTCCCTTCCCGCTCTCAGCAATAATCACATTTGCTTGTTTAAGCAGCTCCTCTTATTTCTTGCTTTTGCAGACCAAGATCAGGGTTGGCTTTCTTGGCCTCTCCTGATTTATCCCCTCCTTTCTGACCTGAATTCTTTTGTGCTCTATTTGACCTAAACCTAAAGTCTCAGCAGCATTTGGATTTTTTTCCTTAGCATGGACCTTGGTAAGATATTGGTCTTCGAGCCTGTGTGAATGATTGGCAGATGTCCACAGTTTCAATGTAGAACCTCAAGCTACCTGCAGAAGTCCTCTGTGAGGGCAAGGACCAGGACAGGTGTTCTTGAGAGGTGCAAGAGTGAACTTGGAGCTGCGACCAGCTCAGAGATCACTTGACCGGGAAGTGGAAGAACTTCAGGAGAAGAGCTCACTGGTCTGGTTTTCTTGCCCTTAGTGTCTAGCAGCTTTAAAATTGTCCAAGTGCGATTGCCGCCCCAAGAGCCAGGTCTTTTTCTTTAAACAGAGAGAGAGACCTGGATTTTTTCCTCTTCCCCAAATAGGGCCCGAGGCTTGACTTTTTGGTCCTGAGGCAACATAGCTCAAAGCAGCCTTCTCAAGCTTGAGACCTGCCCGCTCTGTCTTCACCACGCATAGCTGGCACATTCACAAAGGTTGTCACACATGCACACTAACTCAGGTACCGTTTCTACCTCGTGGGAAATGTCTAGCTCTGTATTACCTTCTGATGTTGGTTTGCCCTTGTGTTTTTTCTTCTTGCTGCAGGAAGGCAATCTCCCGGGCAGGCCTCCAGCACCTGGCTCCTGCACACCCCCTCAGCCTTCCCATGGCCAACGGTCCAGCGAAGGAGCCCAGAGCGACTCTGGACTGGAGTGTAGGTGTTGGCTTCTTCATTTAAACATGATTCAATTGCATGTGTGTTTTCCTCATTCAGAGGCGAGACTGACTTAATAATTTCCATGTTGTTCGCCGGCCAGCCTCCAGGGCAGGCCCTCGCTCCCGGTGCAGACCCTTGGAACACAGGTCCTCTGAAGAAGAAAATAAAAATTCATGAATCCTCTGAAGCATGACCATCTGGGCTGGTGGCTGTGCCCCACTGTGCTCAGGCTTTGTTGGTTCCTGCCTCAAGGGCAGAGAGCTTGCCCTTAGCCACACCCTGGAACGAAGGGCCATTTCCTTGGCTCCAGCCAGTGTTTGCATAATTAAAAATAAGTAAATGTCTATACGAACAGATGCAGTAAATCAAAGAGGGACAGGCATGGGCCAGTGGTAAGAGTGGGTCTGAATCAGGAACCCCAGAAAGTCAATTTGATGCTCACCATGTTCCAGGCTACCCTCTGCATCTAAAACAGCAGGACCCCATTGGAGGTGCAAGATTCTAAAGAGAGACAGTTGAGTCCTTCCTCTCTCTGCTGGCTGTGACTTGACTCTAGTCATTGATGTTTGTCAGCCTGAGCACCCACATCTGATGGGGACAGTTTGGTCCCTCCCAAAGGGGCACTTGGTGGCTGTGCTTAGGATCAAATATGGAAGGTGACAATCCTTTATCAACTTTGCCTGTGAACTTTGTCAGCTCACAGATTTCTTTCGTCAGAGATAAAGGAGTCCACTTATTCATTACTTTGTCAGACATTTCTTGAGGCCCTGCTCTGCACTAGCAGCTGGGTTGGCTCCCTGGGGCTCTGAGGTGGGGGAGATATGGTTTCTCCTTGCGAGAAGCTTTGAGTCCAGGGGTCGGAAAAGAAACCAATATTAAGCCACAGGGTGCCGTCACCTACAATGGGCTCGTGAGGGCGCCCCTGGGTGCGCAGGAGGGCGCTGCTGCCCTATTTGATGTTGCAGGTAGTTCTCAGAAAATGCTTTTAAAAAGAAATGCCCTGCTTGAGCCAGAGCTTTGCTGCAAGGTATTATTTTCTGATTCCTGTAGAGAGGTATGTATTCTAATATTTTTCAAAATGGTATTTTTGGCTGGTGGTGGGAGGCTGCTGTACTTAATAGGGGGAGAGCAAACCGGATGCTTAGTGGTTCCCCTACCTCCCTCTCGTCTTCCTCTCACAGCAGGCACCTGTTTAGATGTGGGATGGCAGGAGACACTTTGGGAATGCTTAACAATCGAGGGAACTGGAAGCCTTTTCAGGAGATGCTCCATCTGGGGTCGTATTTAGTGATGTCATGCATAAGAAGCTATGAGATGGGGTTCTGAAAAAAACCTGACTATGGGCTTGTTAGGGGGAAGTGATGTCCTGAGTTAATCCCATACAGGATTAACTTTGTGGACTCCACCCCCACTCCAGACTAAAGCCATCAAGACTCTGGGAAAGACAAATCCCATCACCACCAAGGGAGGGTGGCTGGGACCTGAGGGTGGAGTTGGGCAGCCAGGTTGGATATAAAAAACCAAACACGTGGGCCTTGGGCTCTCTCTCTGGCTCGCGATCGCTCGCCTCCTGGCTTCACCGCTCCTGGCTGGCGGCCAACTCTGAGAGCGCCATTTTGGGATTCCTGATCGGCGGATTGGGTAGGACTCATTTAAAACTTTGTCTCCCACTTTTCTCCCAGAGCTGTACATTTCCTTATTTCCCCTTCCCTTGTAAATAAACCTTTTTTATTAACCTTTCACGTGTGCCTGCAGTAGAGCATTGATAAGTCCTTTTAAGCGCGCGGGTGAGGACCCACAGTCAGGCACCCCGTTTTGTATCGGGGTTGCTCTACAACAGGCTGACAACACTGTTAATTAACAGATGCCAAACACTGACCAGCACTACAGTTCCTTACTCTTTTTCTTTTACTTTTTCTCAAAGAGAGGAAAAAGCAGATATTTGAAACAGCTCAGCAATATTATTTGTCTTTTTTTTTTGGTAATATTTTCCCTCATTTCAGTGTTTGGTTTTCTGGCCTGTGTGCTTTTCACTAACCCCACGTATGCCACTTTTGTTGGCCCACCTGTTCAGGGAGCTGAAGCAGGGTCTTCTCTGTTGTTCAAGTGTAAGGCCAGGCCCCTGTCTTAGTGCATCTCAGCTCTCACTTGACCTCACCCACATGCCTGGTTCTCTATGGAAAAGCAACCTGACTGTCTCCTGTCGGCCTACTTTTTGGGGCTAAATACATCAAAATGATCTATCTTTATTGACTGTTACTATTTACTGAGCAGTGATTTGGTTTGGTTCTTGGTAAGAATCTTTGAAGTAAGGAGAAGGAATGACAAGAATTTAAAAGAAAAAGAAAAAGTGAAAAATGGAGAAGCTTTAATTCCTTGCCTTTGGTGTGCAAAACGGCCCAGATGTTTCCAAGGTCAGGATGCCTCTGGCAGAACAGGGAGGAGCAGGGCTGATGAGTCACCTGGACTTCCAACCTGCTTTTGACTTTCAGGTGGAAATTCTCTTTGCTCTATTACCATTTGGCGTGGGGGGCTGGCCCCTGACCTGCATCTCCTCTCCTCATTACATCCATAAGGATCAGACACAGAAGCTGTTGCTGGCATGTCTGAAGTTGCAAGACAAGTCAGAGAGAACCTGGGATTAGCATCTTAGTCCCCAGATTTCTACCTGTGTAGAATTCCCAAAGGGCCCTGTTCTGGTGTGACTCTGTGTGCCAAAGTCATCTGGAGGGACCCAGTTGTTTCCTGAATGCTGCTTTGCAAAGACCTTGGAGGAATGTCCTGCCTGCCCGGTGCCCAGGCTCACCCAGCACCGATCTGGTGATCTGAGCTGTGGGCACCTGCACATTTTAGCCAGAAGTCTGCCATGGGGGTGGGATGGGGGAAGCAGCTTTTTTTTTTTTTTTTTTTTTTTTTATAGAGGCATGTTTTATTTATTTATTTGTTTGTTTGTTTTGTTTATACATGCACTGGGTACAGTCAGAAGCGCGGGAGGGTGAGAGAATTCACCAGAGCCAGAGCGGGGAGCAGAGCAGGCAGAAGGACCGAAGTACACTGCTGAGGGGAGCAGCGGGCGGCAGGAGAGGTCTGCGCGCCATGTGGGACCCTCCTCCGGTGGCCGGGGAGCAGCCGGGGATCGAACCGGCGCCGCAGAGGCCGCGGGCAGCTTCGCAACCCAGCGCTCAACCACTGCGCCACCGGGGAGGCCCTGGGAAGCAGCTTTTATGGTTTCGGTACACATATTTAATAATTTCCTTCAAGTATTCCTTTGTCATATTTTCACTTCCCTGCTTGGTGATGCGGTCTATCTCGCTCTTATTTTTAGCCTGTTCCTCAAAGTCCAAATACTTCTCCCCTGCTGTGACTTACTGGAATGGCTTGTCCTGACTTGGCAGATTCCGTGCCGGGCAGTCTCGTTTCCCTGACGAGTCTTTGCCAGCATTACTCTGCCAGCATTACTCTGGCTGCTGAGCCAGGTCTTCCTTCTGCACGAGTCAGGGCAGTAACTCATGTCCAGTGGGGAAGAGCTCCGTCGGGCCTCAGTGTGGTTCCTCAGCCTTTACCGACAGCTTGACAGTGCGGGACTGGCTGTTTCTTATCGAGACTCCACTCTTGCTGTCTCCCAGGAAATGCTCATCTGTTCAGGCCAACTCATTCTGCTTATGTCATTGCTCACTTCTTGTTTTGATCCCTCCCAATACTTCTCTGCACAGTGCATTGTCTTATAAACCTTAGAAGCAAATTTGTGTTTTTGGTTTTAATCTAGGTCCTAAGTTAGATTTTGGGCTCTTGAAAGGAGGGAAAGTCTTCTGCTTATGTTTTCTTTTTCACACTGGAGAACACAGCATCATGCACCTTAGTAGCTGTGTGATTACTGATATCAGGGGACAAATCAATTACAGCTAGAAGCCCAGTCAGCCAGAGGGGACATTTCCCTGGGAGTCAACAGGCGCTCATCTAATCTCCAGGTCCTGAAAAGCTTGGTAGACATGAGTCCAAAGCCTGTTTGGAAAATAAATGCATTTAGGCTACTTGAATTCCAAGTAACCTTTGAATTTCCTCCCTAACACAGTGCATGGGGTTAAGTCTTCCAGCAAACACAGTTGTTTGAGCTTCCCTTTGCTACCAGTGGTGTCTCTTCCTCCTTCTCGGGCACAACCTGCAGGGGGCTGTTCCCTCTGACACCATGCCATCGTGTCAGCCAACCCAATTTGGGGGAAAACAAATGAAGTTGCTATAAAGGAAGCAAGTAATGCTTAAAAAGGAAAAAGAATCTCATCTCCTGGGCTGACATCCAAGTTTCCAGCTTAGAGTGAGCTAGTGCATTCAGAAGTGTGTCTGCTGCAGATACGACGTGTCTTTCCTCCCGTGTCACATGCTTGTCCTGCAGCGGAGTCTCTTCCCTGCTTATACTGTTCCAGCGGGGAGCCTCAAAAGCGGGCTCCTTCCACCTCCACTGCTGGATACTTGGCTTCTGCCCATTATGCTCCTGACAAAGCCCTCGAGGCAATGATGGAAAAGCCACCACAATCTTTCTTGATTTCAGTGTATTTTTTCCTTTCTCCTTGGAAAGTCTCCTCCAATCCCGAGGGCGGGGGAAAATGGAATCTCTGTACAGAGGAAGCCAGATCTTCCATCTCAATCACTTTACCTCTCCTCTCGCTGATGCTGTAGGAAATGAAGTGCTTTTCCCAGGCAGATAAAACATAGTGCAGGGAACACACTGCTCTGTCTGGCTTGGGAACAAGATTAGGGAAACAAAGTCTCTATGCAGGATTGGTTTAAACTGGGTTATGAAACTAGGTCATTTTATCTTTAGAAACAATGACTGAAAAGCCAGGAAGAGGCAGGTGTGTGTGTGTGTGTGTGTGTGTGTGTGCGCGCGTGTGCCTGTGCACACGTGTGTGCGCATGTTCTCATTTCAGTCTTGGTTCAGATGGTAAGTTGTAGGAGACATGAGCTTTCTTAACGGATTTCAGTGTCATCATCAATAATGA